TATCTAATATATATATATATATATATATATATTAGACTTTAAGGTCACTTATGCACATATGATTTTCGAAAACTGAGAATCAAAATAAGATACATCGCTGAAGAAACCATAATTCTAAAATGAATTTTGATTTTCCGTGCATTTACCAAAAATAAGGGTTAAATTTTGATCTCTGGTATCCGATAATTATATGTGCCTAATCAAACATTATATAGAATGCCAAATGTGGACCAAGAATTTATCTTCAAAATAAAAAATGATAGAATATCTATTACCAAGATTATATGTTCATAGAATAATAATATGACAAAACATCAATTTTTATATAAAATAATCATTTTCCAAATAAAACCGGTTAATTCTTGAAGGATTATCTAAAATACTATTATTCTACCCTTTTATTATAGTGCTTTGTTTTCGTTCCAACGAAATCAAATCAATTATTTCTGTTTTACCCCGTCTAATTATGTCGTTTAATCCTGCCTGATTGTTATTTTCTTCGGCCAGTCGGTCGGACTTGACCGCATCGTGAGGACTTAATCTAACCCCAATTACCTGACTACTGCCACTCAGCAAGAAACCAAAGGGAAACTTTATGATACGAGAAATTAAATCTTATACTTGGTAATAAAGTTTCAAATTATAATTATAATATTATAATTTATACAAACTTATAGAATTTTGTAGAAACGATTTTTTAAAAAAATGTAATTTTACTTCTTATATTTTATTTCAAAATATTAATATAAAATTGGAAAAATTATCATCATTTATAAAGAGAAGTTTTTGTTACTCCTACAATCCAAAAACTTTTATATTTAGAACATGAGTCCATAATGTTTCATGTCTTCATAATGTTTACTTTCAGTAATAAAATTAAGTTATAGTTCTCCAAAGTTCCTACATCTGTATAACTTTCAGAAGAATCATTTTTCCCTGAACATATGTGTCAAAGAAGCTAGTGAATAAATAGCGTCTGCAACTATACAGAGACCTCAGGCGTGATAACCTTACTGGGATTAATTAGCTGTTAAGCTTTAAAACGTATTAATTTTAATGGAGTTACTTGAGCAGAGAATGCTGGAATCGTGTTGCTGTTTCCAACACTTGCTACTTTAAATTTAATATATAGTTATATTCGATATATGCGCGAATGCTTTTGAAAATTAATTATTGTTAATTTTACGAAAACTATGATTTGTTTCATTCATTAAAATTTTGAGCATTAAGATATAGACCAGGTGTTGGTACATATGAAGTAAGGAAATTCAATTTTGTATGCATATTTAGGTATCGAATAAATTGCACTAATAATAATGATTCTTTCTGATCTGATTCCGAAAAATGATCATTAAACTTATACATCAAATTATTATCTATTCTATAGAGATTTTACTAATCAATACAATATATGTTATAATTTCTATGGATGTCATACTAATATTTATAGTATTGTCCTGAAACTCAAATGCCCTCAAAATTTTCAGTATGGCTCAACCCACTTGAATGGATTTCATAATTTTCTAAAAATTTCAAAATTGTATTCAAACTTTTAAATAAAAAAGTTCAAGGTACCAAATTTATAACATTTGTAATATTACTAAAAAATATAATAAAAAAAATAAATATTTGTTTAAAGTCTGCCAATCTTGTGTGCTCGAATAATAAGTCTTTATCTGAGTTTTCTTTACAAAATATTTAACTCTCTTAAGCTAGCAAGACCAAATTAGCAAAATCGATCCGGACCTGTTGTATTATTTAGTACTTATTTTGTACTAAATTGTACCACAAAAAAAAAATTGTACTACGCGCCGTTTAAAAAAAACACGTGGCGCTGCTAGCTTTAATATTAAGCTAGCAAGACCACATTCTGTTTTAGAAGAAAATAAATAAAATAAAACGAAAATTGATTATTTCGGTACAAATTAGTACAGATTAAGTACTAAATAACACAACAGGTTCGGATTTACTTTATTTATTCTTTAGAATTATACCTATTTTCCAAAATTTTCCTTCAATCTTTATAAGTAATACGTTTTCGACCCGAAAGAAATGACGGTCATTGCTGCATCCGACTTCGGCGTGTGTTCCGCGCCCCAGAAAAGGTGCACTCCGTCAACTAGATTGATGGCGCGGTGGCGATAAGGCCCTGCCCATTGTTCGGTGAAACTGTCCAAGTGCTCGCGCAATTTTTCAATTGTTATCTTTTTCTTGTATCGGCACAAAATGAATTTACTCAATGAGGTTTTATAATAGTATGAAAGGTACGTAATACATCGAGAAATAACTCTTAGCAATTACGATCATTCATGCACAGATTATATTAGTAGTTTGAAAAATTAGTTGTGCGTATTTGTATTTGCAATATATGTACTTAATCAAATTTAGAATTTTATTACTATATAGTACATGAGTTTTAAGAAAAACCTTTGGAATTTTGCTAAATAATCAACTTCCCGAAGGAGAAGTTTATGTTTTCATCAAAAAATCGCTAATTTTATGTTCTCTCGACGTTTCAAGCCATTCTGAATCGAATGAGACCAAATTTGGAAAAAGTATGTGTGTGTGTATTTGTGTGTGTGCGTGTATGTGAACAGATTTTTGCCGTAAATCAACGTTTTCTCAAAAACCATCGGACCGATTTCAGAAATTTAAAAGCCGTTCGATGTATCTCGATGAGGACTAGCGTTTATCAATTTTGCGCAATGATCAGCCAATCCGTTTCTTTATAAATAGCAGAAAAGTAAAAATATCAGTTTGAAAAATCAAACATTTAAAAGTTAATCGATCTATTTGGATGTAGATTATTTTTTCTCAGTTTTGTGAGACAATTTGCTGAGCCGTTCCTTTGTAATTTGGAAAAAAGTGTAAACTTTTCGTCTACATTTAAGCTCATACTACCGAATTGATTTTGAGAAATCAAAAACTGTTCGAAAGATATTTGTTTGGGAATGATACTGATTAGTTTTAGGTGAAAATCTACCGAGCCGTTTTCTTGTAATTAACTGTTGAAAAAAAATTTAAGCCGATTCTTGTGGAACTTTTTTTTGGCAATATATATCATGGTCTTATAGAACTTGCTGAAATATTACGGCCTTACGACAAGTAGTTTAACTTTAAAAATTCATCAAAGTTTGAGAAAATAAGTAGTTTTTTTGACGTTTGTTAAAATGAAAATTAGATGATTTACTTGGTATAGAGTGTTCGTTCGTTTTCAATGATGTGAAATAAATCCACTCGGAATACTTTTAATCACTCATAAATGAATTTATATATTATTGTTTAAGTCGATTATTTACACATATCGGGAAGTTCATGTAACTTGCCTCAAGGCTAAATACCAATACCAACTAGTTTTATATTGTGAATATAGCTATCTACTTATATATTATATCTCAATCATAATATTAGTCTATATGTGTTCTGTAATCGCAATTTGGTGCTGTACATGTCTTATAAAAGTTATTGTTTGATTGATTTAATTTTTAATTCGATTTTGAAATAGTAGTTTTATTATGAAAACGTGTATTCAATGAATTTTCAAACTAGGTGTGAGAGACATTTTGCCTACCATTTTATCTACCTATATGTCTCGGCATACACATGTCTATCTCTCTACATTTATTGCCTGCTACATGTTTGCCTAATAACCTGTTGACTTGTCTACCTGTCTACCTGTGTCTACTTGTGTACCTGTCTACCTATTCACCTATCTACCTGTTTACAAATACACCTGTTTACCCGGTATTCGGATAAATATATGGGTGATGACACTCTTGACCTTTTTCTGCATTAAAAAAATATGTAGTACTTATTTTAGTATATCGTAGATATATCCATATAATATTTATTCATAAACGAAGTGGATAGAGAAGATTTTTTCTCTGGTAATCTTGATCATACAAATATAGTGGTCAGTATGTTTGATTGAAAATATAATCAGATCTCTCCAAAGATCAAGTATACATTTATGTATTATTAATTCATTTTTTTAACAAGTTCTTTCCATGCAAAAACTTATCTTTATCAGCACCGTATAAAAATCACTTCGGCTTGAACAAACACAAGGCATAAAATACTGAAAAAATATATTTTATTTTACTATATTCGTGGCTCGTCGAGTGTTAGTGTTCGCATGACGTGACAGCGTTTAGTTTTTTAATTGGAAAACTCAGCGCCCTGAGGGGCCGCGACATGCAGCCTCGATTTAAGCATGTCTGGCGCAAAACGCTGAAAATCAAATTAACTTTAAAAATCATACACTGACGGTACTGAATTATTGAATATGGACTAGTTTGATGTGTCTTTAATGGGATCTGCTACAGTATTTGATAGGTCACACGCACGCTGTAAATGATAAAAATTTAATATTTGATAAGTGTAAACTACATTTGCATAGGATCATATGTTGTTGATATATGTATGTGTATAAATTGGGTGTGTTTCTGGTATACTAATATTTAACATCTCGTAGTCTTAGTTATAGTAATCTTAATTCGAAAATGAAAATTTTAGCATTTTTTTGCCTTTCCTGGCTTTCTGAATTTGATGGCATATCTTAATGAAAATTGATGTATGTATGTGTGCGTGTGTTTTTTGTCGTCAATTAAGAGAGGTACGGATCAACTAATTTTAATCGGTTTGGAAAAGTCGGGTCCAGCAGTTTCTAAAATACGGGGCAAAAAGCTGTAAAAATGGCAATTTAGTTTTTTAAAGAATGAAGAGACATTTGAATGATTTAAAAAGCAATTCACTTGTATTGACGGTCTATCAAAGATCTAATTTTGTCAAAATTTTCAAAAAAATAAAACTAAAGAAAATTTAAATTGTGATATGGAAAGTTCCAACTCTTTGCTTTCAGGCTCGATTCAATGCGTTACCACTAATTAATTTATTAAAATTGTTAGATTGTCAATTAGTATTACATGCAACTTTAAACATTATCTTAATTTTGTGAATTATTTTGTTTCAAATGTTGATTTTCAATATTTTCATTTTAGATGTTAATATGGTTGCTGAACCAAAACCACACCAAACTGGACGTAAACGCCAAAATAATACAAAAACTGGAAATGATTGGTAAGTGAAATCTTATTTTATTAATACTAACAAACAAAACACATATAAACGCAAAGAAATTCATATATGATCGACATTCATACATTCATATAATATTTATGGCATTAAAAATAACTTAGGGGTTGCAAGATAATCAGATTTTATACATGGGTAATAAAAGTTATATTTAGGTAAAATTGAAATAAAAATTGTTATCAGCGATTGATGATAATTATGCGTTTCTCATAAAGTTTCAATCCACCTATAAAAGTAATCAATGAATATGATAAAAAGCAACTCCCAAATGAAATTTTTAATTTAACCAGACTTTTACCACGCTGGCGTCAAACTAATCACCAAAACCTGTTAATAAATTCCACTTTTTCGCATACAAAATAATTTACTTTCCATTGTCCGTCCTGGCTTGTATCGTGACAAAATCATTCACAAAACCCATATGTTTCTACGTGGAAATCATGAAGGCATAAATGAAATTTACATTTGTCGACTGACAAGTGAATTTCCCACGATCGGCAGTGTTATTTTTTCGAAGCCCCAGGGCCGCGGGCGTTCGCAATAATGAATGCGCATACATAGCGCATAGTCTGCGGCCGCCGTATAGTTCGTAGGTTGTAGCCGACCGGCGGGCGCGAATCATACGCCAATGCATTTATGCGATTGCATCATCGGACCGTATGCGCCGTTATGAATTTCGATAGATTATTCCCGAAGCCTCGGGGTTCTGGCGGTCAGCCCGGCTCACCCCCAGGGGCCCGAGTCGGAGCTGTGAAGCCGAAAGAGCTGGAGAACGATACCTTCGAATTGTTCAATGCAGTTGAAATTGGTTGCGGATTATCGGTATAAATCTGATAATACCTGATTAGGAGCTGACTTAGAACAATCTATTGATAGTTACATGAATTTATAAAAAAAAACTAATTGATACGTGTTAACTATATATAAATAGCTATGTCGAACGGGGAAGAAATGAGTTATATATCATAGTTTGTAATGTACCTAATAAAGTACATATCGTATACAAGAGTCGATTACTACAAGGTTTATAAGCGATTTCATTTGAGTACAGAAAATATTAGAGAAATTAACAAAAAATGTTTTAATGTAGAAGTCAGTCAAATTTGAAATACGCGTTTTGCAATTTCGGAAATTAAATGTTGGAATGGCTATTAAACTACCATAAAAATTTCTGAACATTAAAAAACATTACCGAAACAAAATTAATTAATTCGTTTATGTAACAAGATAAATAATATAGTTTATTTATGGTACATTCTCTTGCATTCAATTGCAACATGATACTAATTTAACATATACCAAAATTTAAAAAAAAATACTGAAAAATTATAATTTGATAATAAATCCTACTATCTGGGTACTAAGCATTTGTTTCGAAAGTATGTGTACACAATCATTACAGTTTTCACGAAATATAAATACGTTTTACAGTATAAAGAAGTATTCTGGTATTTATATTATTTAACTTATTTATTTACTTTACTTGGGTGTTTAATGCTAAAGTTCATGGGGATCGTGAGTTCGAACCTCGCTCTGGACAACCTTCCATTTTCACTTGAAAATATAGCACAAAAAATGCTTCGAATTGAAAATAGCCCATTTCGGGCACTGCAATGTAAAATGGCAATAGGAAACCTCTCACACTAATCTTCCCTGAATCGATTTGGAGTATAACTCAGCTCACGGACCTGGCCTAGGGCAATGACTACCCATTATTTATTTATTATACTTCACTTATATTATTATAAAGTATTGTGTAGCAGAAACAACCATTTGGGTTTTTATGTAATATATTCATTGATATATAAAATTTATATTACTACAAATACTCAATATTGTAATGATTCAAACTTGTGACGTACTTTTTGTCGTTAAGTAAGGCTAAAAAAATTTATATGCATCCACATTACAAATAATATTTAGAAATTGGCTGTGATATTCGTTATACTTTACTTACATGTTTGTAAAATCTTAAATAAAAGTAACGACTATATTGTGGCCATATTTTTTAGGCCAAAACCGCGACGGCAACTTGTAGCAAACAAATTTTTTATGCAGAATTACTGACGTTTTGTAGGAATTTATTATCCAATTATATGTTATATTTTATCTATATACGTTATTTTCGCTTTTAACCCTTGTATAAAATTTTGTTCCAGTTTTCTTCATAGGTAACTTACTTAGTCAAAATTAGCATTTATGCAAAGCGGTTCAAAAGATCGTCATCATAATTTTTGTAAAATTAAAAATAACTAGTGGTGTATGGCATCGTGCCTTATGGCAAATTGCTCGAACTTCACGTACCGTAATGAAATATTCGAGAAATTTTAAACGTTTTCAAATATATTATTACAAATACTGTAACATTCATTATTTTTGCTATCTTATTGTTTATATCAGAACAAATCAAACGTAAATAAAAGAAAGTTCTTTGAATCAATTAAATCGGACGCTTAGTTCTCTCAAAAACACGATTTCCATTTTCTGCACTCTTTGCTTTTTATCTCCGTAACTGCTGGACCTTCCTTTGCCAAAAACTAATCAGCACATCTCCTTATCAATAGGAATCGAATGTTTTTTGAACCATTCAAATCGGTTGATCCGTACGCCCGAAAACGTGGACAAAAAATTGTATCCATACATACATACATACACACACACACACATCCATTTTTTCTGAAGTATGCCAAAATGTTCAGAAACCTTCAAAACGTCGAGAAATGTAAAAAATTTTAATTCCGATTTTCGGCCCATTACAATAACTTACCCAACGGGAAGTTAAAAAGTTCAAAAATATTTTGGGCTATCTTAACCACATTTGGAATTTTGTATTCGGAAATTTTCTCATTTATAATGTATTCTTTCATATACACATTCTTGTGACATTTTTATATAATAGATGAATAGTTGCAATTTCATTAACTAAAATTAAATTTAAACTTATATTTTTTAAAAACCCGGGACGAATATTGCTTTAAGAAAAGCCCGGGATACAAGGTGAAAATCCGGGTGTGTCCCGGCCTAACCGGATCGTATGGTCACCTTATCAATATTCATTTTGATTTTTGTGTAATCTATGATACATAACTTTTGAATTTATACAAATATTGTTATTCATTACTACCACGGTGATGCAGAAAGCATTTATGTCCTTCAAATAAAGTTTAATATAACTTTATCAGCAACAATAGTCAATCAAGAAATATTCACCAGCCTCCACTTTACTCTGAATCTCCCTCTGTCCATGAGTTTGTGATGCTGACCGAACCCACCGACGTGTTCCAACCGCTTCTCCCTAGCTTGTGTGAATTAAATGTAAATTTTTATTGCACCGCCGCGGCAGTTCGTATGCCGACGAGGCGGACCGGTCGCCGTTCCGATGGCCAACTACGTTCCGCGTATGCGAACTCGGGCTGCATATGCGAAAATGGAACACGTGTTAGAGCATACAGTTATTACCGCAGAGATCGGGTATATGGAGATCGTTTTGGTTATGACTTTATAGTAAAATTAACATAACTTTATACTGTAATTGTCTTAAAAGAATTGTTTGATATGAAGGGTTTTTGGTTTTAAATAATATTTAATATTGGCGGGTATTTATTTAATATTCTGACATAAATTTGTGTAGGTTGTGGTCATAATTCACATTTTGAATATGTGAATATATATTGTATACGCCTAAAGTGCAAAGTTAATTCGATTTATTTTCTCCAGTTGTTACCATCCTTTCCAACATGTTGTGGAAATTATCTATAAATTGATTATGGGCTCGCTTGTGGGTAATTGGCTAAAACCACTGGACTGAATCGTAGGATCCGAATTTGATTCCAGTTCAAGCAGCCTATTGTCAAGCAGTAGTGGCATCAATTTTCGTTTAGAAATATTGATAGAAATATGTTGGCAAGTAAAAATAGCTCCCACACGGCATTGCTGCACCAATAAAAATATATAATGGGACACCATAGTGTTACCTATGTTTTGGTGTTACCACATGTTGCTCTATAATAATGGATGACTCCGAGAGATGTCAACAATACAAAGATGGAGCAACTGCTTGGGATGCCATCTGTCGTATAGACTAGTATTAGGTCAAATTAGCTTAACAGCTTATAGGACTTTTGTTCTCATTGCTATTCAAAAATTATATAAAAAAGATTGAATCAATGTACCTATCATGAAATACTTCAACTACTCTTCTTGGTTGTGTTTGAGCTTTTAATATGCAAAACTTTTCTACTGGTAAGCCACGTTGTGATAACTTGCCTCAAAAAGAACTAATAGTGAGTACTAGCAAAATACAGGTCATCTTCAGGATTTCATTTTTAACTCGAAATTTTTCAATAATAAAGGTGGACATCTCAAAGTCGACCGATCTTAAAAAAAATTGATAGTTCAACAAAAAGTCCTAATTCTTAAAAACTTGAGCCAATTGTGGTATTTTTTTCACTGTGGTGCAAGAAATGTTGTTCACGGTTACGGTTCCAAAGTTCAAAAGAACAAAATTAATAAATGTTGAACACAATAACCGAAAAATGATCATAGTTTTTCCAAAGCTCTAGGTCGCACTTAAAAGCTCATAACTTCCAAACAACGTGATTTTTTTAAAATATCTTCAGGATATTTTAGGTCAATACTATCACCCCATTTCGGTTTGACATCAAGGTTTGGGACACCCTGTATATATTCACTATTCCTTGGTTGCTCATACATCTTAAATTTTCTCGAATTAAATCGTAATAACCAGTGAACTTATTTTACTTTTTGAATAAATAAAATTGGCATATAAGTAATTAACATTTAGGTAGAGATCAAATTTAACATGATTAGATCTATTATTTATAGAATCTATTATTTAAATATGTTACGAACATTCTCTCCGAGTATTAAATTATGATTAAAAAAAATTGTCTCATGGTCATTAAACAAGTTTTTTATCGGTTACATTAAAATTGCAAATATAATATAATAACTATTGTATTGTT